GTGTGTCCCTTTCGCCCCAGAACGGAACAATCGTGAAAATAAGTGGGTCCCTTTTGCGCCAGAGCGGGACTCACGTGACAACACGTGGGTCCTTTTCGTCCCAGGGCGGAACAAACGTGACAACACGTGGGTCCTTGTTCGCGCCAGAGAAAAAAACGTGAAAACACGTGGGTACCTTCCTCCCCAGAGCAGAAACACCGGGCTGTTCGAACGATTGGCCCGGGTCGTTTGCATGACAAGCCTTCTGGGCCGTTCGCGTGACAGCCGTACGCCGTTCGCGTGACAGCCGTACGCCGTTCGCGCGATTAACGCCGGGCTGTTCGAACAATTGGCCTGGGTCGTTTGCATGATCAACTTTCCGGGTTGTTCGCATGACAGCCGTGCGCCGTTCGCGAGATTGGTGCAAGGGCCGTTCTTGCGATTCCAATCGACGTCTTTTTGTTACAATGAAATCGGTAAACCGTCCTACTTACTCCCGGAATGCATCGCACCGGAATGGGAATATCACGGCGGCAACCTACACGGTCGCAGCTGGGGGGCCGGGCATTCACATCAGAATGGAAGGGGAAGGATGAGGAGAAAGAGGGGAAGGACTATCTACCATGACCCTGGCTTTGAAAGAATCCCTCAGCCTGAGGATCGGGATGGGAGGGTCGCTCCCGCGACTCCGAGGAGAGCTTCGAACGATTGGAAAGACTGCGCTTTACGCTCGAGTGCCGGGCAAAATGCCTGCCCAAAAAACTATCTGCCATGATCCTGGCGAATTAAACATTCATTGGCTACGGCACCTGGCTGGGAGGGTCGTTCCCGCCAGTTCGAGAAGAACCTCCAATCGGGAAGGTAGCGCTCCGACGCTCACGAGCAGGACAAAAACGCCTGCCCTAAAGAACTGCCTGCCATAACCTCGGTGATTGTGCCTTGAAGAACTGCTTGCCTATCATACGAACGACGCAACCCTGTCATACGAACGACTCACGATATCGTGAGAACGACCTAATTGTCAGAGCAGAACAAACGTGAAAGCACGTGGGTCCCTTTCGCCGCAGGAGACCTGAGGCCGCAGGAGGCCTTCCCAGGGCCCAAGGACGGAACGTGTCAAGTTACCACACATCTGGTGCCGATATATTATTTTTTCCTGGCTCGTGTGACCCCACTCTTGGGGGCCAGACGACCACATGTTAGATATCCCCCTCTGGCTGGCCTGGACGTGTGAAAACACGGTGGCCCTTGTCGCCCCAGAGCAGAACAGGCGTGAAAACATGTGTCCTTTCACGCCTAGCTGAAAGAAGCGTGAAAACACATTTGCATGCTTCGTTCCAGAGCGGAAAAAACGTGAAAACATGTGGTCCCTTGCGCCCCAGAGCGGAACAAGCGTGAAAGCACGTGTGTCCGTTTCGCGCCAAAGCGGAACAAGCGTGAAAACACGTGGGTCGCTTTCGCTCCAGAGTGGAACAAGCCTGAAAACACGTGGGTTCCTTTCAGCGCCAGAGTGGACGTGGGTCCCTTTCGCCCCCGAGTGGAACAAGCGTGAAAACACGTGGGTCCCTTTCGCGCCAGAGCGGAACAAGCATGGAAACACGTGGGCCCCTTTAGCGCCAGGAGCCTGTTTAAAATTTTCCGCGACAGCGGCCGTCACCAGCCCCGCCCCCCCGAGGTGACGTCACGTTCCGCGCGGGCGTCGACCGGGAATGTCTAGGGATGACCGAGGCCAAGTAGGAAAGTAGGAGCAGCATGTCGGCGGCGATGTGCGCAACGGCGTTCGTGTACACCACAGCGCTCGCGTGCACCACGCTGCGCGCGCACACCGCAGCGCCTGCGTACACTGCGCCAGCCGTGCGCAACGCAGCGCCTGTGTACACTACAGTGTTTGCGTGCACTGCAGCGCCTGTGTACTCCGCAGCGGATGTGTACCCCGCAACAGCCGTCTGCAAACCGCAGCGCCTGTGTACACCACAGCGCCTGTGTACACCACAGCATCCGATGTTTTCCCCTCCTCCCTCCTCTTCCTCCTCCTCGTCCTTTTCCTCCTCCTCCTCGTCGTCCTCCTCCTCCTCCTTTTCCTCCTCCTCCTCCCCTTCCTCCTCTGTCACCGTTGTCCCCGTCGTGCGGGTCGGCGCTACAGCGCACGTGCGCATCTCAATGTGCACCGCATAATGGGAATGAGCAAGAAAAAGGCTAGCGCCCGTGCCATGAAACGCCACGCTGCCATGCCACAGCAGCGCCATGCGACAGCGCATCCCACCGCAATGCTTCCACAGTGCCCCGCGCCTCAAGCGAGCTCCTTCAGGAGGACGCCGCCCCATGTCTTTCTGCGCTTCCCGATCCCCAGGGCACGGCACCTCCTCCTCCTCTTCCTCCTCCTCCTCCTCCTCCTCCTCGGGAGGACTTGTAGATTCAAGAGGCACTCCTATTTCCATAAAGATTCTTTTCCAAATCCTGTATAACACAATTGCTTCCTGTGGGATCCACAGGCACTCCATTGTGTCAGAGGGCTTCCTTCTCAAATTCAATATGCAACAATGGTGTTCCTGTTGCACACGGTTGCTGTGATGCACGCAGGCGCCGTGGTGTACACAGGCGTTGTGGTGCACGCAGGCACTGTGGTGTACACTGGCGTTGTGTTGCACACGGCTGCTGTGTATGCAGGCGCTGTGGTGTACATGGGCGCTGTGGTGCACGCAAGCAGTGTGGTGCACACTGGCGTTGTGTTGCACGCGGCTGCTGCGGTGTACATCGGTGCTGTGGTGTACATGGGCGCTGTGGTGCACGCAGGTGCTGTGGTTCACACGGGCGCTGTGGTGCAGATCGCCACCCACATGCTGCTCCTACCCGTCCTGGTCAGTCCTAAGCATTCCCAGACGCCGCCGGCGCGAAAAACGTCAACAGCCCCCTTCCCCCCCATGGTGACGGCCGTCATCTCCCCGGAAAAAAAAACAGTCTCCAACCAGTGCCGTCTTGGGGCCCTACCAAGCCCTCCCAGGAACCCACAAGGGGGCGGTCATTCCGGCATAACTGCCTGACCGCGAAGTGGGTTGGGATTCGGGGCTGGGACCCGGTACTCATGATGAGGATGATGATGATGATGATGGTGATGATGATAAAGATGGTGATGATGATGAATCAGATCGTGATGATGGCGATGATGATGATGATGATGATGATGATGATGATGATGATAATGATGATGATGATGATGATAATGATAATGATGATGATGATGATGATGATGATGATGATCATGATGATGATGATGATGATGGTGATGATGGTGATGATGACGGTGAAGATTGTGATGATGATGGTGATGCTGATATTGATGAAGGATAATGGTGATGGTGGTGATGATGAAGATGATGCTGATGATGCCGATGATGATGTTGATGATGATGTTGATGGTGGTGATGATGAAGATGAAGACGATGATGATGAGGATGGTGATGATGACGATGCTGATGCTGATGCTGATGCTGATGCTGATGTTGATGCTGATGGTGATGGTGATGGTGATGGTGATGGTGGTGGTGATGGTGATGGTGATGGTGATGGTGATGGTGATGGTGATGGTGATGGTGATGGTGATGGTGATGCTGCTGCTGCTGCTGCTGCTGCTGCTGATGATGATGATGATGATGATGATGATGATGATGATGATGATGATGATGATGATGATGCCAGGAGGTTATCTTGAGCTGTCCTGGGGCGCCTTTTGGGTGCTTTTGGGTACTCTTGGCAGCCTCTTGGGCAGTCCCTTAGGGCTGACTTGAGCGGCCGGGGAGCGGCCCGGGAGGCCACAGGAGGGGGGGTGTGGACCCAGCTTTAGGGTTCGGGGCCGTGGCTTCTGGGCCCAATGCAGCGAAAACCTACAGCAACCCACGGACAATTAACGATTGACGCCGCCTGGGGTCGTGTCGCGGTCACTTTGAGAGGCCTCTTGGCGCATCTCATGGGCCTTCCGGGGCCAACCAGGAGCATATTCGGGCAGCACCTTCGCTCAGTTAGGTCGTAATTGCTAGCTTTGGCTCTTGTGGGGCCCATCTTGGGGCCCTCTTGGGACCCTGGACCCCATGCTATGGTCGGGGGCCTGGCCCCGGGCTCCCGGACCCGGTGCGCCGTTATACGTATCTGTTTACATACACGTATACTCAGATAGACGTACTGGAACCACGCGCGCGCTTCGCACGCGCGCAGGTTCTCGTCCCAGCTGCGCCACGTTTCACGGCTCTCGCTTTCGCTCGTCTGATCGGCGACATTGCGAAGTCCGCTGCGTGTGGGCGTTGCAGAGTCTCAATCCGCCTCAGCCCCCTCCCCCTCCCCCTCCCTCGTCATCGTCCTCCTCCTCCTCCTCCTCCTCCTCCTCCTACTCCTCGTCCCCCTCCCCATGCTCCTGCCACGAGCAAGCTGGCTGTCACCCTGGGGGCCAGCGGCGGCGAGAGGGGCCTCCCAGGGGGGGAGGACGGAGGGGGAGGGTGCACAGAGTGCAGGAGGAGGAACAGGCGTGCGAGTCCAAGAAGAGGAGGAGGAGGACGACGACGAGGAGGAGGAGGAGGAGGAGGAGGAGGAGGCGTGCGAGTCCAAAAAGAGGAGGAGGAGGAGGACGACGACGACTGCGGTGGCGGCGACGACGGCTGGCGCAAAGCGAGACCGCGGAGGGAAAGCATGGGCGGAGGGAGAAGGCGAGCGGAGTCAGAGACGACTGGGCGCCGCTGGCGGGTTTTCTGCGTCAGCGCTGCTGACCAGGGGGGGGGCTGCACAACCGCGGTGGCGGCGGAGGAATCTGTGCTGTTCCTGCGGGAGAAAGCCCAACTTGCAACTGCCATCAAAGAGGCACCGAACTTAGCTGGAGGTCGGAGGGCGGCGGCCCCGAGCAGCGGTCACTGGACGACGCGCCGCAGAGAAAGGCCTCGTGCCCGAAGCGGAGGAGCGAGGACCAGACGAGGGCAGGACGAGGTGGCGGCGGAGGGGAGAAGCGCGGCAGGGTGGCGACCAGTGCGGCAAGCCGCCTCCAGCTCGTCCCTCGAGCACCGCTCGGCTGCACTCCGCACCGCAAGGGCCGCCGAGCTCTCCGCGCCTGGGGGCGGGTGGGGGTGGGGCAGCGATAGGGGGAGGTCCAGCTTAGGGGGGGGGGACATCAAGCTGGAATCGGCGATGCATCGCCGATCGATCGGCGACAAGCCCCCGATGGTGAATCCGCACGTTCCTCGGTGGGGTGGGCTAGTATCAGACCCCTATAGGCGATACATGGGCGACGATGCTGATGATGATGATGCTGCTGATGATGAGGATCATGATGATGATGATGATGATCATGATGATGCTGATGCTGTTGATGATGATGACGATCAAGATGATGATATGATGATTGTGATGATGATGGTGATGGTGATGATGAGGATGATGATAATATGACGATGACGATGATGATGATTATGATGGTGATGGTGGTGATGATGATGGTAATAATGCCGATGCTGATGATGATGATACTGAGGATGACGATGCTGATGGTGATAACGATGACGATGATGATGATGATGCTGATACTGATGGTGGTACTGATGATGATGGTGATGATGGTGGTGTTGGAGATGTTGCTGATGCTGATGGTGTTGATGATGGTGATGACGATGATGATGCTGATGATGATGATGCTGATGGTGATTATGACGATGATGATGATGATGATGATGTTGATGATAACGATGACGATACCGATGATGATGATGCTGATGATGATGATGCTGGTGCTGATTTATGATGGGTATGGTAATGGTGGTGATGGTGATGATGATATTGGTAATGGTGATGATCGTAATCGTGATTGTGATGGTGGTGATGATGATGATGCCGATGATGGTGATGGTGACGGTGATGATAATGATGATGATGATGATGGTGATGGTGATGGTGATGGTGATGATGATGATGATGATGATGATGGTGGTGATGATGATGATGATGATGATGATGCTGATGATGATGGTGGTGATGATGATGCCGAGGAGGAGGAGGAGGCGGAGGAGGAAGAGGAGGAGGAGGAGGAGGAAGAGGAAGAAGCGCAGGAGGAGGAGGAGGAGCCGCAGGAGGAGGGGGAACGAAGAGGTGGAGGAGGAGGAGGAGAAAGGATGTCGACGATAAGGCCACCCACGCTCCCGCCTGAGGGGACTAGGCCCTGCTTCAGGCCCGACTGTAGCGAGCTCATGCCCTTCACCCCGAGGGCGTGCACCGCCGCCGTATTGCTCTTCATCTGGCGGCGCGCGGCGGAGGTGGGCTTCTCCCCCTCCTCCTCCTCCTCCTTTTCCTCCTCCCCCTCCTCCTCCGCCATTGCCTCCTCCACTGCCTCCGCTTCCTCATCCTCTTGCGGAGGCGTAATTTGGGGAGTGGGTGCCCAAGACTAGCACACCAGTGGCGACAGGAGGGACCGCGTGTGGCGGCCATTGGGTACGAAACCACCTGTACTGGCATCGACCACCCGAATCTAAAACTGGGGCGCCACAGTAATAAGTATGTTGGCAAAGACGAAGGCCCTGACGATGACCTCGCCTGAAAGAAACCCAAGCAAAGTGACTTGGGGCTGAACGGAAAGAGGCGTTTGAAGCCCCGTCGGCGCAAACACAGATGTGACGAGCACCGCCGTACCTCATACCCACACTTGTGATCGAAAGCGATCAACTGTCAACAACACCGCACCTGCAACCCAAGACCGTGGCCAGAGGTCCCCGTCAGCACAAACAAATACATGTGAATAACACCATCGTGCCTGTGAAACAACATATCGGCAGGAGGCCCCCCACGGCACAAAAAGACCCACCGGCGCAAGAATACCTGTGACGAGCACCAACTGAAATTATAAGGCACAGAAAAAACATGTGATGAACACCGTACCTGTGAACCAACATGAACCAACAATAAGGTAGGAAGAATACCCGCGACGAGCACGACAGTACCTGTGAAACCAAAATAGCGGCTAGAGGTCCCCGTCGGCACAATAATACCTGTGATGAGCCCCGCCGTATATGTGATCCAGCATTGTGGTCCTGAAATCTGCCACCCACAACAGCAAACGCCAGCCCACCTTCTTCCGTCGTACTTCGCCCGTGTGCCAGCCCAGGCGTTTCTGGGGACTGTCCCTGGGGGGGGCGCCAGGCCGGTCCTGGAACGCCTCTCCTTGACACTCCCACACCACGTGGTCCGTCGTTGGTATGCGCCTGCACACCACGGGCATTCCATCGCAAGGTCGTTCCTTCGGCCCCGCTCGAAGGCGGCAGGTGACACAAAGCCCCCCGTGAGCACCGCCAAGATAGATGGGTGCTCCTGCGCACTGGCGATGAAGGCCTTGAGCCGCTTCGCATCGTAGCGGGCAATCCAACACGCCTGCGCGTCGTTCCGTGTTGGGGCCAACCAGCTGTGGAATTTGTGATGCCGCCACGCTTTCCGTAGTACGTGGCCCAGGGCCTTGGCCGAGTGCCAGTGTTCATCCGTGCTGTCCAGGGAGATCATCTCGTCGATCCAGCGGTGGTACCATTTCCACTGCGCTGTATTCCTCCACCCCGTCCAACTGGGGTGCTGTCGAATAGTGCCTACCAGGGTCCGTCCGGCCCCCCGAGCGCCTGGCGTGCTGCCGTCGTTCGTTCCTCTGGATGAAACCCGCGCTGCGGCCACGAGCGTCTCCTGGTGGGCGCGGAATCGCGCGTCGACTCTGTGACCCACGACCAAGCACTTGAGGTGCGGCGACGACCGTCGCGGTGCACCTGTGGCGCTGTGGACGGCCGCCTGGAGCTTGTTTATGGCCGCACGCGGCGCTGTGGAGTTGAACCACCCATACTGAGACGAAGAGAGCGACCCTGCAGCTATCGTTTCCTGCCGCTGTCGGGGAGGGAGCGGCCGCAACCGTGCGCGTTCCACCTGTCGTTGCGCTTTGGACACGCGCTTCGCCTCCTTGGCGCTGGCGGCCCTGTGCCGTCCTCCAGTGGGTTTCATCCCCAAGACTGTCAAACTTGGGAAGACGATATCCGCGCGGACACCCCGCGCCTGCAGCTGCCGCCGCTTCCGCGGATCATGGTGCGCCCACTGCTGTATGCCGCTGTTCTACACCATACCCAACCAAGGCTTGTGATTAGTCGTCCCAGATGGCCGCGGCGCCAAGCATACCGTCGAGAGCGCGAGACGTCCACGTACGGTCCTCGACGTACAAGGCCGCGCTGACCCCTGGCTCCCGCGCGGCAACCTCGCAAAGCGGACTCGCGAGCACGGCCGTAATGGCCAAGGCGGACCACGGACCCCCTGCGGGAGGGAGGTGGTCACGTTTTCTGGCAGCTTGGCGGTGGCCCCATGTAGCTGTAACCACCGTCGTTGGTTGGTCCATTGCCTTCCCAACATGTTCGCGACATGTTTGCGCATACCCATCTGCTCCATTGCTGTCGTTGCTGCCGTCGGATGCACCCAATCGAACGCCAACCTGTCGTCCCAAGACGCATCGAACTCGCCGGCCTCCAGGGCAGCGATGACGCGCGCCGCCGCGTCGTGCACCGTAGCGCCCTTCTTTGCCCCGTGGGCCTCTTGCGGCCACCATCCCTTGCACCAGGCGGCGCAGGAGGGAGAAAGCAGGCGAGCTGTGGCCCAGACCCTGTACCACGAGCTGAACACCGTGATCGGTCGGAGCTGCGAGACCGGGATGGCCCCTCCCCCCGTCGGCGGGCTCTCCTTAGGGAGATGGATCTGTCGCGCCTCCGACCACGGACTCGGGAAGGCCTCTGCCATCTCAAAGGCGTCAAACACCACGGCGACGGCCGGGGCCACACTGCCACCAAGGTCAGCCACCTCTGTCCGAGACCATCCGTCGGTACCTGCCGCCGTGCTTCGCTGTCGGTCCATTGCGCCATGCACATCAAATACGTCGTGGTTGTCCCAATCCCGTTGCGGAGCCGCTTGGTCCACCCGCATTTTGTATCTCAACCTGTCTGGGACAGCCCAGTCCCAGATTTTGCGCCACCGTTTCGAAAGAAGGTGCAGCGCCTCCTTTGTGCCCGTGGTGGTGGTGGTGGTGGTCGCAGCAGGGACCAACAGCCGGCGTCGTGGTGTTTGACGGCGGCTCCCTTGGGGGCCAACGCGCTGCGAGGCAGACGTATTTTTGCTCCCTGCGCCAATTCCAATGTGAAGGTCTCGAATGTTCGAATGATGGATTTTCTGGTTCCAATGCGGAACAATTAAAATCAATGCGAGGACCCCGGCCCGAAATTCCCACTGTTTCTCTCTCCGACTCACGGTGCCCGAGTTTTGCGGGGGGCCCATCGGATATTATACTATCATGGCGAAGAACCCACCATATGCAGTTGTGGGTACCGTCATTGTGGGTATCACCTTCCATCAATCTCCTTATGTAGCCACGAGGCGTGTGAAGGGTGTGTCGACCTGGCGCGGGGCCGCCATCAGAGGCCTCCTAGATGGGGTCGGAATAGATGGGGTCGAAGGATCGCTCCGCATCGCCGATACATCGGCGATACATCGGCGATACATCGGCGATGCATCGGCGATGCACCGGCGATGCATCGTCGACGTCGGCGATGCATCGGCGACGTCGACGTGAAGCAAATCGGGCCCCACATTGAGCCGCATCGCGGATGTATCGGCGACAAGGGACGCCTCGGCGCTGCTACAGGCTGGCCGCGGGGAGGGACGGCGCCGAACGCGTGGCCTGGTGGGTGTCCCCAATGTGCCTCCGGGGTTCGCCCGCGGCGGCTGCCGTAGCCAGAGCGGGTGACCCGACGGACAGGCTGCTCGGAGCTCTCCCCCCCCACGGGCCGACCCTCGGCGTCGTCTGCGGCTGGCACCGGTGGGCCTCTTCGCAGCAGGACGACGCTGTGGTGCTCGGACAGTCGCTGGTGTCCACCGACATTGAGGGTTGCTGTGCCTGAATGCCTCGCCTTGAGTGTTGCTGCCTGGTACAGCCCGCGTTTTACGCATCGTCGCACCATCCCCGGGCCTTCCCCGCAGGCGCCGGACTCGATGCGATGGATGCCGCCAGCCCCCCCAACTCTGCGGTGGAGTTCGAGGGCTGCGCGCTGAGTGGTTCAGCCTTCCGCGCCTTCGGCCCCTTGTTTTCCACCGCCAGCAGCGTGTTACCCGGGCTCGTGCATCGTTGCTAGCCGGGTCGGCTGCTCGGAGCTTGGCGCCGCAAAGGCGACTCACTCCGTTGCACTCGCACTCGTGGCCGCTTGTACACTTTGGTTTACTGGGCGGCGCCTAGGTGCGTCTACTGGTGAATGCTGAGCATTTTGTTCAGTGCATGTGCAACTGCACGCTCTGTGTGCAATTAGCTTTGTGCCGCCCGCCCCGGACATTGCCTGTTGCCGCCAGACCGTCGTCGCGTGGCCGCCGACCGAACAAAAGGATGTATCGGCGATGCGGCGCGATCCTCCGACCCCATCCACTCGGACCCCGTCTGGGAGGCCTAGAGCCATGCGGGCGCTGCCACCGGGGCCTGATGCAGAGCCCCCTCACGGGGCCACGAAATGTGCAAGGGGTGTGCCGAATCGGGGGTGGCGCCCACATGCGGGCTGCACCGGTGGGACCTTCGGCGGAGCCCCCGGAGGGGTCACGAACCGCTTGAAGAGGTGCGCCGACACGGGTGTGACGCACACATGTGGGCTGCGCCGGTGGGACCTCCCTGTGGGGCCACGAAACGTGTGAGGGGTGTGCCGAAACGGGGGCGGCGCCCACATGCGGGCTGCACCAATGGGACCTCAGGCGGAGCTCCCTGAGGGGCCACGAAACATGCGAGGGGTGTGCCGACACGGGGGTGCCGTCCACATCCGGGCTGCGCCACTAAGACCTTGGGTGGAGCTCCCTATGGGGCCACGAAATGTGTGAGCGGTGTGTCGAAACGGGGGTGGCGCCCACATGCGGGCTTCGCCACCGGGGCCTGCGTTGGAACTCCCTGAGGGGCCACGAAACGTGTGAGGGGTGTGCCGAAACGGGGGCGACGCCCACAGGCGGTGTGCCGACACGGGGGTGATGCCCACATGCGGGCTGCGCCTCCAGGGCCTTAGGTAGAGCTCCCCATGGGGCCACGGAACGAGTGAGGGGTGTACCGAAAAGGGGGCGGCGCCCACAGGCGGGCTGCGCCGATGGGACCTTAGGCGAAGCTCCCTGGGGGCCACGAACCGTGTGAGGGGTGCGCCAAAGCTGTTGGCGATGGTGATGATGACGGCGATGACGACGATGATGGTGATGATGACGGCCATGATG